GCAAGACTTCATCTCTCATACTTCATGTTATTAGGAAGGACCAGTCCCTGGAAAAGGACACCATGCTTGATAAAGTGGAAGGTCAGTTAAAAAAATAAAATAAAAAAGGAAGACCCCCAAGGAGAAGGACTGACACAGTGGCAGCAGCAATGGGCTCCAGTGTAACAACTGTGAGGATGGCTCAGAACAGGGTAGTGTTTCGTTCTATTTCGCACAGGGTGGCTATGAATTGGAATCAACTCGATGGCATCTAACAACAGAACAACATACCAATGGTCATTGCAGCGGTATCCACAATAGCCAAAAAGTGGAAACAACCTACATGTCCATCAACAGATGAATTGATAAACAAAACTGGTACATACATACAATGGATTAAGGCTCAGCCAGTAGAAGAAATGAAGTCTTGATACATGCTGCAACATGGATGGAGCTACAAAACATTATGCTGAGTGAATTAAGTCCATCACAAAACGACAAATAATGTAGGGCCTCCCTTATATAAAAAGACAAGAAAAGGCAAATAATATCGAGAACAAGTCTATTGGTGATTACCAAGGGCAGGAGGAAAGGGAAAAGGGAGATTAATGGTGATGGAATTAATCACATTCATTAAGGGTAGGGCTGCATAGCTGATTACTGTAATTGTTGTCAATAAGTTGTACACCAGTAAAAAACTGAGTTGGCAAAAGTGGTAGCGTAGTGGTTACGAATCGGGCTGCGAACCTTAAGGTCAGCGGTTTGAAACTACCAGCCGCTCTGCGGGAAAAAGATGAGGCTTTCTACTCCCGTAAGGATTTACACCTTCGGAAACCCTGTACAAGGTCGCTATGGGTCGGAACCGACTCGACGGCACTTAACAACAACAACATGTGTGTGTGTATTAAGTGCCGCTGAGTCGGCTCTGACTCGTAGTGACCCTATATAGGGTTTTCAAGAAATAGTTGGTGAGCTTGAACCACTAACCTTGCAGTTCAAACCGACTTTGTAGTTCAGTACATTAACTCACAGCACCACACCAGGACTCCATATATATGTATAGATACATATATAAAACATAGACAAAAAAAAGAGTAGCTGTTAAGACTCCTTATGAACAACCAAAATCCTCCCGAGATTTGGTTTCTTGGTTTGAAGGTATACAGTCATGGTTTCAGGGGACATACCAGGTAGCCGGCCAAACCACGTGTTTGGTGTTTCTGTTCTAGGCTCTAATTCGTTGCATAGTGCCTGAGATGTTAAAAGCTAGCTAGTGGTCATCCAAGACCAACAATGGGTCTCTTCTCATCTAGAACAATAGAAGAAGGAGAGTCAGAAATCGGAGGATATGGAACATGTGATTAATTGGCTCCATGAACAATAGCCTCCTTCGTCATGAGACAAGAAGAACTGGATGGTGTCCAGTTACCATTACTGAATATTCTGATCAAAGATTCCGCAGAAGATTTCTGATCAAAAGGAAGGAAAACCAGAACAGAATTTCAAATTCTCATGGGTTCCAGACTTCCTGAAGCTATGAAGATTGGATGAACCCCTGAAATTTGCTCTGAGATCATCTTTAAATGTTAAATCAAAACTATCCCCTTAAGTCTTCTTAAAATCATAGTATAGCTAGCTTGATGGTTAAAAAATGTCTACCTTGAGCATCATGTTCTTTTAAGAACAATTTATATGGGATCAGATTGACAATAGCAACTTAAAAGATTAAATAGGAGCCTAATGGGGCACTGGAGTCCTGGTGTGGCGCTGTGGTGTGGTGTGCACTGGACTGCAAAGTTCTTTGAACCACAAGGTTAGTGATTCGAGTTCACCAACTGCTCCTTGGGAATCCTTATACAGGGTCACTATGGATTAGAACTGACTCATCAGCACTTAACAACAGTGGAGCACTGAATTTATGTTAATGAGGGGGGGAAATCTCAAAAAAGGAGGGTGAGAATGGTTGCCCAGCTGTTGAATTGGTGTTATTTTGCTACGTGTATTCTCAACAACAACAAAATAAAACTAAAAGAAAGAATTGGCTTCTGGGGCTAGATGGTGGAGTAGGCAGATGAACTGAGTAGACCCTTTGCAACAAAGGCATAAGAGACCAAGTGTAGCATATATATAGATGGTGATCCTAAAACTCTTGAGTTTCCAAGGATAGGACAGTAAGGTAGACTGAGCGCTTACTGAAAAAGGATGCTAAACAAGAGCAGTGAGAGAGAAGAAAACTGGGAGGACTGTCAACTGGCTTGGAGCAGTACCACCATCTTGAGCAAGTGGCTGCTGATCTTTTGGCCTACAGGCACAAGACCCAACTGGATTTTAGTGTCAAGAACTGTGGTTCTCTCTTGTTCTGTGCTCTCATGGTAGCAGGGGGCATGGCCAGTCCCTATCCTTGCCAATCCAAGGAACAGTGGCACCCCCTGCTGCACAGCCATAACTCTGCCTGGAATCAGGAGCTGCCACCCCTGCTTGTGGAGATGCTTGAACATACCCTGCAAGCATCAAGCAAAGAACGGCATTGACACTTCCAGTGTCTATCATATCCACCAGGATACAGGTGGTGAGTGCCTGAAAACACACCGATGTACAAAATCATCAATTAAATATGCATATCATACACCACAGTGTCTCATAGAAAAAAGACAATTCCAACTTACACTAACAAACAAGACAGTGTCTCAAACAAGTGATCAAAATACAGAGTCAGAAAATATACCAGAAATGGTACCAGAATTATTTGATAAGGAATTTTTAAAATGATATTTAGGTACTTTCAATGGACTGAGGGAAAGATTGAGGAAAGTAAGGAGAAAACAGGAAAAAAATTAGAAGAATTCTGAAAATATTTTAAGAACATATTCACAGAAGAAATGAAAAACTGGGAAACCATACAAAAACAGCAATTAAAAAGACAGAAGGTTAATACTGAGACTTCAGAGACAGAATATGCTGTAACTCAAAGAAGTAGAGTTGAATCAATGGAAGGCTGAATTAGTGACCTTGAAGCAAAATCTCTCAATATTCATCTGTTAAAGGAAGGAGTCCCAGAGTCCTGGTGTGGTGCTGTGGGTTACTGTGCTGGATTGCAGAGCTGGTATGAACTGCAAGGTTGGTGGTTCAAACTCACCAGTTGTTCCTTGGAACTGACTGGATGGCACTTAACAACAACAAAGGAACAATCAGAAAATAGGAAAAGAAAGAGATAAAGCCTAAGATTTATGTGGGACACTATCAACAGGATTCATTTAACATATGATTGGAATTCCAAAACAGGAAATGACACACACACACACAAAAAAATTAAAAAAATAGAGAAAACTGTCCAAGAATTGTAGGAAGAGAACTTCCCTAACATCATTAAAGACAAGAAAAGCGCATCAAAAAGTTAAATAAATTCCAACTAGAACAGACCCCAAAAGAAAATCACCAAGACATATTATAATCAAACTTTTCAAAACCAAACACACGGGGGAAATCCTGAGAGCAGCTTGGGAGAAATAAAAATTTACCTACAAAGGAGAACTATTAATATGACTAAGCTCTGATTTCTCACCAGAAATCATGCAGTCAAGAAGACAATGGGATGACATATATAAGACTGAAAGAAAACACTGTCAACCAAGACTCATATATCCAGCAAAATTGTCCATCATATATGACAGTAAATTAGGACATTTCCAAATTAACATCTATACTTCAGATATATTATTTGGAGGGACCAGTCCCTGGAGAAGGACATTATGCTTGGTACAATGGAGGCTCAGTGAAAAAGGGGAAGAGCCCCAACAAGATAGAGTGGAGCAGTGGCAACAGCAATGGGCTCAAGTGGAAGAACTGTAAGGATGGTGCAGAACCAGGCAGTAGTTATTTTGTTTTACACAGGGTCAGTACAAGTCAGAACCAACCTGATGGCACCTAACAGCAATAATCATAACCCTGACTTAGCCTAGACCTAGCCATAATCCTAATCTTAACTCCTTACTCCTATAGTCCCCAACTGTGCCCCTCAAAAAAAGAACTGACAGGGCTCAATTTGCCCTGGCTCAGACCTACAGCGTTCAGCTTGTGGCACAGGAAGGGAGCAGGCAAGGAAGTTGGATGTCACGCAACAGGCAGGTCAAGTACCAAAAACTACCCAAAAGGGACAGTTTAGGGACTTAACAGGGGTGCTAAAAATGGACAAGGGATAGGAGGTGTCTGCAGAGAGGAGGCAGCTTGTGAAACCATAAAGAACCGACAAGAGCCAGAGGTCCTGGAGTGAGGAAGTCAAACAAGCTACTGGATGGAAAAGAAGTTGTAGGCAGAGAGAATACTAGTCATTACTTAAGATTATCTGAACTAGTTATTAATTAGATGAATTATTGGTTGTTAATACACAGATGCTTCAAATGTTCATGGAATAATTACATTTTTTTAACCTTTTATTTTGAATTGAGTGAATGTTTACAGAGCAGATCATTAGTTTTACTTTCATCAAATCATATATTTTGTTTCATCTAGATTGCAAAAAAGTAGGGAATGCTTCATGAAACTGTGCCATCCTTGTGCAAAGCCCATGTTAAACTTCTCTGTATCATATCAATTTTAGTATACATGCCGTGAAGTGAGCACTACATTATTTTTTAATTTCATTGTTCCACAAACTTTTTAAAGCTTCCTCATACTTGTACATGAAAAAGATCATATATAATATGGCCAAAAAGACACACCAAAATCTGTGACCACTATGTTGATTCTAACTGATAGTGACCCCATATATGTCAGAGTAGAAAAGCTCCAAAGGATTTTCTATGAATTTTTTTTTTTTTTTTTTTTTTTAGATAGCCAGGCTTTGTTCCCTAGGTACCTCTGAATGGACTAGAACAAGTCACTAATCTTTCAGAGTCCATTTGTGCCACCCAGATATTTCTGGGATGTGACAAATTGCTTAGCCTTCTACTTTATGAAGCACTCCCAGGAATATTTATGAAAAAGACCAACAACTCAACAGGAAAAGTGAATCAAAGTCCTACTTGGCCAGAGATTCCCCTTCCTGACTGCCCAGGGGCTCTTCCAGTGCTGTGGTCTCCTCCATGGGTACCATCTGCTCCACATCACTGAAACACAGCAAGAATTTCCCCATCACATAACTCAGTTCTTATCAATGTCTTTATTTAAAATAGAAAAAGAAAATATGTAAATATCCTTCAAGGTACTATATACACTATATGTGCACCCACATAAAAATGAAAACACAATCTAAATTGCTTTTCCATATATAAATTATTTCCCAAAATATAAAAAGTAATCTGAGAAATAGAAGTTTCCATGAATGGTCTAAAATTAAGAACAGATAAGACTGTAAATGGTCAGAAAAAGAGTTGAAAATCCTTATTATCCTAGGAAACTCCATATTTCAAAGGAACCATAGTAATTCTCACAGTACAAGTATTCTATGATATTATAAATAAGAGTATGCCATATCAAACTTTTAGAAAATGATTAAGAAAGTAGAAATAGATTCTAAAATATGGGTGTGTGATTACAAACATGCTAGTAACTAGTTCGGAAAACCAAGAACAAACATTGACTTATATACCATCTTGTCTAAATAGATATATAATCTATATATTAAAAATCACAACACATCTGAATTTTAATGAAAGTGATCTTAATTTTCCTTTTCATGTTAACATGAATCCTATCATATCATTAACGAGGGCTGGCAGCACTGTAGGTTAGGCACTGGGCTGCAAACTGCAAAGTTGGCAGTCCCAGTCTTTCTGAGGGAGACAGATGAGGCTGTCTGCTCCTGTAGAAAACCTATACAAAATGGCTATGAGTTGGCAGCGGGTGGGCATCAGATCATTCTGGTGGTGGTGGTGTGCAGTCAAGTCGGTTCTGACTCATACTGACCCTGAATAGGGTTTCCGAGGCTATAAATCTTTACAGGAGCAGAAAACCTCAACTTTCTTCTATGCAGATTTGAACTGCTGACCCTGCGGATAGCAGCTCAACTCATAACCCATGATTCTACCAAGGCTCCTTATTTTAAAAAGTAAGTCTCAGAAAAAGAAACATCATTTTCAGTAAATGTTACACTGCTGTTATTAACTGCCATGGAGTCAGGGTTTCTGAGAAGCAGCTGGTGGCTTTGAACTATTAACCGTGCGATTAGCAGACCAGTGCTTATCCTATGGCACTACACCAAGACTTCAATATCAATATATCTGTTAGAAATGCTTTATAGTCTATATAATTTTTCTGAGTTCAGGAAAAGCTTTTGATGGATAATTTAAAAATAAGTTAGTTTTTAAATAGTAAGCAGAAATTGAAATACAATGGAACAGACTTTTTTATACTTCATTTTGCATACTCTCAACATTTTTAAAAATTCAGTTTTCAACTGAAACTATGTATAGCCCTAACTTTAAAAATAAAAAAAGGTCACAAGAAATGCAGTTGGTGCTTGCAAAGAGCATCACTGCTTGTCTGCCCAATGGCTGGCACCATCACAAACAGTTCAGCAGCTATCTATACACAGGCTAACTCTGGGGGGAGGGGAGGCACATGATTTTTTTTAGCACCTGGTGGTGGTGGTGGTGGTTATGTGCCATGGAGTCGGTTCTAACTCACAGTGACCCTGTACAGGGTTTCTGAGGCTGTAAATCTTTACGGGAGCAGAAAGCCTCACCTTTCCCCCACTCAATAGCTGGTAGTTTCAAACTGCTGACTTTAAGGTTCACAGCCCGATTCGTAACCACTGTACTACCAGATCTCCTTTGGTGTGGTGCTGTATGTACTTTAATGCACTGGACTGCAAGGTCAGTTTGAACTGAAGGGTCAGCAGTTCATACTTACCAGCTGCTCCTCCAAAACCCTATACAGGGTTACTATGAGTCAGAATTGACTGGACAGCACTTTAAATCAACTCCAAAAGGGGAGTACTGGTATGGCACCATACAGTAAGCACTATACTTCTAACCACAAGGTTGGTGATTCAAACTCACTAGCCGCAACTCAGAAACCCTAGACAGGGTTGCTTTGAGTCAGAACTGACTTGATGGCACTTAATAACAACTGCAATCCCCCAAAGAAGCCCTAGGGGTGCTGAAGGATAAACACTGCTAATTACAAGCAGACCAGCTGTCTGCTCGTAAGGAGTTACAGTCTCAAAAAGTCTATACAGGATCACTGTGTCAGTGTGGTGCTGTAGGATAAGCACTGGACTGAGAACCACAAAGTTGGCAATCCCCACTCACCAGTCACTTCTTGGAAACCCTATGCTATGAGTGAAAACTAAGTCAATGGCACTTAACAAATATATATAAAAGCAAAGTAAAATAACAAGATTTGTAATTGAGAGCCTATGGAACTCCAGATAGAAAAATACTCAACAAGTTTCCTCTTCCTTCCAAGGACCACACAGATTTTCAAAGGCAGTAGATCTGATATTTCATTTGACATTATTTTGTATGTTTATCTTTCAGGAAAACAATTTAAGAAAAATGTTAATGCGAAATCCTAAATTCCTTTCACAGCATCCAAAGATGGAAATAATGTGAAAGTCCACCAACAGATAAACATGCATACAATATTGTACATACAATAGGCTATTAGTCATAAGAGAAATGAGGTCCGGATATATGGTGAACCAAGAAAGCATTATGTTAATTAAATCACCAAAGAACAACTATTATATATGATCCACGTGTATGAAATTTCTAGAATAGGCAAAAGTATAGAAACCAAAGGTTATTAGTGATTACCAAGGGTGGGTAGGAAGGAGAAAGAGGGACTTACTGCTTGCAAGACGCTGTATTTCTATCAAGGTTGATAGAGAATTTGGAAAAGTAATGGGATTTACTAGGGAAGTTAACAGGGTCAGAACGCTCAGGGCACAGTTGTTCAGACAGGATAGCCTCTTCCCAGCAGTGCCGAGAGGAAGGCCTCTCTCTGTTGGACAGAGCTACAGAAAGCTTTGAAGGCAGCTTACTGCTCTGTCTGGTGCTCTGTTAATCCTCCAGTGTCACAGCTCTCTGTTCCCAGGTGGAGGAGGTTCAATGTGCAGGGATCTCGGGGTCCAGAGGACACACTCCACTACTCCTGGTTCTTTATTCTTGTTGGTAGTGAGATTCCCCCTCCTGCTTCTGAGATGGCTCATGTTATACCCATGCTAGAGTTTCAGGTTTTTACAGTTACAATGAACTCTGCTAACATCCACAGCTGAATTATGTCATCCTATCACTTTCTCTTCATAGCCAACAGCAAGAGAGTCGTTTGGTGGGAGTTATAAAGACTTAACAACAACAAAGTCTACAATCAATATCTCTTTAAACATGACACTGAGATCATTTCCCAGAAAAGCAATAAAGATCCAGAGCTCTCCATTTGGTTGTAGGCTCATAGACAGCAAACCTTTGCACTGTACCTGGTATCTTTACTTGATGGCCAGCTTCGAACTCCAGAGCCACCCATGTTGTCTTCAGTTCTCATAGCTCTAGAGAAAGCAAGCGTATTGATTGGGAGCCAAATCCGAAAAAAATGTCCCAAGAACAGATAGCAATAACAACATACTATTATACAGTCATGAAATACACTTGAAAGCATGTAACAGATTCATACTATATATCCAAAATCTCTAAGTGAAAACGGCATTACAAAGAAACTTACATTTTATCACTCCCAACATATCTTTCAAATTCACGTTTCCCTCTCTGGTCAAAACTATCAAAAGCTCTGTTCATGGGACCACCTTTCCCTCTGCTTCGCATTCCCCCTCTTGCACTTCCTCGTCCTCTTAGGGGTCGGTCTCGATCAAACCTATCAACTGGTCTAAAGAGAAAATAAAAGCAATAAATTTGAGTAAAGGTCTAAGGCTATTTTTTGGACAAGAAATTTTAGCAGGACATTATAGCACTATTGCTGTGGTTAAGTGCTATCAAGTTGGTTTTGACTCATAGCGACCCTCCTATATAGGTTTTCCAAGGAGCAATTGGTGGGTTTGAACCAACAACCTTGCAGTTCAAATGGACTTTGTGGGCAAGTGCTTATCCTGCAGCACGACACCAGAATTCCATTATGGCAATTTGTTGTTGTTATGTGCTGTGGAGTCGGTTCCGACTCATAGCGACCCTGCACAGGGTTTCCGAGGCTGTAAATCTTTATGGGAGCAGAACGCCTCATCTTTCTCCCGTGGAACAGCTGGTAGTTTCGAACTGCTGACTTTGCGGTTCACAGCCTGATTCGTAACCACTATGCTACAAGAGCTCCTTATTATGGCAATAGTATCCTGGAAAAGAACATTAGCTTGAATTAGAAATTAAGGTGATCTTCACTGAGTATATACTATGCCTGGCATTGCTCTCAGGACTTTACATACACCAGTAATTACAAAAAACTATAACAGACAGATGAAGAAACTGAAACATAGAAGGGTTAGATCAGTTGTCCAAGGTCACACAGCTGCTAGGAAGTGGAGCTGGCACAGGAGGGGTGGTTCTTGGCTAGGCTTTATAATAATTCTAGTAGGGCATCACTTTCTCTCTAGATCTTACTTCCTCATTTATAAAGTGATGACATTTATTTCAGCTTAATACGATAACCTTTAAAGTTATATTTGGTGTGTTTTATATATCAGTAAAAATAGCTAAAATTCTAATTACCCTCCCTCCCAAATATCTCTCACACACCCCTGCCCATGCATCCAAATGACATTTGGGACTGAAAAGATTCATCTGCTTTGGTATGATTTCTAGCCCCATTACTCCACATAAACTTTCAGGGATAGCTAAAATGCCATTTCTTCCTGTCATTTGAGCCCTCTGCACCACCGGACTCTACTGACCACTAATTACCCTCTGACTTCTTTCCCTGTTTCTCCTTCAAAAAGCTATCTACAATGAGACCGCAAGTCCCAAATGTAGTACAAAATTCAAGCTACCCATTTGCCCTTCACAGAGGCAACCCCCTACAAAGTCTTGAAACATTCTGTACCTTGCCTTTTTTCCTTTTTTTTTTTTTTCATTGTGGAAAAATACAAAGGAGCTTCAAAAAGTTCATGGAAAATGGAATTCAAGGATAATGGAATCTTTCCACTAACTTTTTGAATCCCCCCTTATATACAAACCTGGTGTGGTACTGTAGGATAAGCACTAGACTGCTAACCACAAGGTTGGCAGTTCAAATCTACCAGCAGCTATGAGTTGGAACTGACTTGACAGCACCTAAAAATATAAATACACACCCAAACATTCACCAATAGAATACTATCCACACTTACAATTGAAGGGCATTGATTCCATTTGCCGTGTTGTGCCAGCATATCACCATCCTTTTCCAGATGCACTTTGCCTTTTCATACAGCAACAGATCTTGATGCTCTAGGTGCAGTGCTACCTCCCCACTCTTTGTAACACTTGCTTGTCCTTAAATGTTCCAGTACATCCACTTCACACAACGTGCTTACTCATGTGTCTCTCACTTAAGTCTCTCTGATCTCACACTAGAGTCAGTGATTTTCTGGACATCTGCACCTGGACACTCCATGGCCTTGAGGCATAACATGAGCATCTAAACCCCTTCCTCCTCCAAATATTTGTCATCAACCACTTTATGTGGGCATATCCCATTCCCCAACTTGACTGTGGGAAGGATCCTATCTTTTTCATTGTCATAATCCTAGTTTAATAGCAGAAATTATATATTTGTCAGGCCTTTAAAAGGCACATAAAGCAATAATACCATTACTTAGTTAATACAGATCCTGATATCAAGGAATCTAGTCACATTAATGACTCAAAAACCAGAACTACAGGCTTATCGCATTCTACTTTTATTTTGTTTGGTTTTTTTTTCAACTTTTTGTGAATTGAGTGAAGCTTTACTGACAAAATCATCAGCTTTACATTCAACAAATCATATGCTTTGTTTCATCTCAATGATTGCAATCCCCTTCATGGACAACAGCTATCCCACTTCCTCCCTGTGGCTCCTATTTCCATTTCAAACCCAACCTTCCTAGCCTTTCTCACCTTTGTCCTTAACCACATGCTGCCCCTTTGACTCTGAATGACTGACTCTGAATGCAAGTGAGCATATCTTGTTGGTGTGCTAGTGCTGTTGTCCCCTATATACCTATCCATTGCTCAACTGAAAGTTGGACAATGAGTGTGAGCTCCTTTCCAGACCTGAAGATTGGTAAAGGGCCATAGTCTCAGACTCCACTGGCCCTTTCTGACCAGGAAGCCTGGTCTTTTAAAAAAAATAATCTTGAGTTTTGTTCCATACACTCTGTTGCTGTATTTAGGACCTAATGTGATTCATTCCAAAGTAGTTGGTAGTGGTAGCCAGGCACCATCCAGTTCTGGTCTCAGAGTCACGGAGACTGATGTTCACATGTTCCATTACTCCACTGGCCTAATGGGTTCCAAGGATCTTCAATTCTCAGCACTCTTCTTTCTTCTGCACATGGAGAGACCAATAGCTATACCTTGGATGGCCACTCATGAGCTTTTAATATCCCAGATGCTACTCACCAAAGTTGGATATAGAACACTGTCTTTGTGGACTATGTTGTGCCAATTGACTATGGTGTTCCCTGAGACTATGGTACTGAGCCCCCAGGCTCTACTATTTTGATAATATCTAAGGAGTCACAATCTACTTTTATGGCCAAAAGTATGACATTATGGACTGCAAAGTCAGTTTGAATTGCAAGGATCAGCAGTTCAAACTCACCAGCTGCTCCTCGGAAACCTTATACAGGATGGCTATGTGTCAGAACTGACTTGATGGCACTTAATAACAGCATCTGATGGTGAAATCAAAGGAGGTTAGCCGCTACTAACTCCCACATCATTTTTACATGGGAAAAACATGGAATACTCAACAAATTTTGTTTTTTAAAAATATGAATATAGGAAGTATTGATCATTTGTGAAAAACACAATTCTAAATTAAAGTCTCAGTTGTCTTTTCGATTCCTTACTTTCCCACATTAAAACCAAGTTTTAAAATAGAAATTTTGTAAGAACTGATTCCAAATTATACTAAGCATCTAGTGCAAAGTTCTAAAATGACAAAAGAAAAGTAATTAAATTCTTAACCTGGAACTTAGGACCATGAAAGGAAAAGTCTACCTGAAAGTAGAGTAAATAAGAGCAAAGATATGCATGAAAAATAATGACAGTATTTAAATAGGGCCGAAATTCACATGGAGTCCACATCAAATAATGACAAAACACCAAATTCACTAAAAAGTATAATAGTGATTGAAAGCAACTGTCGCACCTCCTGGTATATTTTCATCCTGTATCCATGTTTTTCTGTACTCCACAGGTTCCCTCTCTTTCTACTCAGTTAAATAAATTCTCAAGCACTTCTTTAGGATACCCTTAATATACAATGTTTTCTCTTTCAAGTACTACAAAGGACTGAGGAATTCTGAGTTATATTTGCTTTTGCTGCTGTTAAGTGCCACTGAGTCAGTTCCGACTCACTGCAACTCTATTTATAGGGTTTTCAAGGAATAGCTGGTGAGTTTGAACTGCCCAAACCTACCTTGTGGCTGAATGCTTATCCTACAGTGCCACACCAGGACTCTGTGCTATATTTAGGAAACTTTGTGGTGAACTCACAACTAAAACAGCATTTGAGTCAAGGATCTCACTCCATAGGCGTTCTGGTGTGGTGCTGTGGGTTAATGCGCTGGACTGCAGAGTCGTTTAAACAGAGGTTCAAACTCACCATCTGCTCCTTGGAAACCCTATACAGGGTCGATTATGAGTCAGAGCCGACTCAACGGCACTTAGCAACAACAACATCCTGCTCTATAAGGAGCCCTCATAGCATAGTGGGTTAGGAGTTAGGCTGCTAATTGCAAGGCCAGCAGTTAAAATCTACCAGCCTCTCCATGGGAGAAAGATGAGGTTTTCTGCTCCTGTAAAGATTTATAGCCTCGAAACCGCTATGTAGAGTTGTTGAGTTGGAACCAACACCATGGCACACCACCACGACCATCTCCATCCTGCTGTATATATTTGAAATCCACTATCTTACAATAATCCTACTAAAGATATACAAGTCCTTCTGGGTAAAGAAACCTCAGAGAGGTTAAGTATTTTTGCACAAGTCATTTTGTAGTAGGGTAGGATGTTTTCTTTTCTCATTTTTTATTGTGATTTGGGTGAAAGGTTCACAGAGCAAATCAGTTTTCCATTCAACAATTCATATACATTTGTTTCAAGCCATTGACTGCAATCCCCACAACGTAACATCTCTTATCTCACTTCCTCCCCATGATTCCATCCCTTCTTTCCTCTCTCTTATCTTATGAAGTTGTTCTTGGTGCACTGCTGCCCTTTTGATCTCCAATGGTTGGCTCTTTTAAGGAGTGCATACATCCTTAGTGTTACTCAGTCACCACACAGACCTGTCTACTGATTGACTGAAAATTGATCCATGGGGATGAGTTTAGTTCCAGGCCCAAAGGGTGACTGAGGGCCACTGTCTCAGTGATTTCACCAGTCTCCAGCCAACCAGTTAATCTAGTCTTTTCACAGGTTTTTAATGACTGATTTTTCAAAAGGAGATCATCTGGAGCTTCTTTTAAAGTGCTTCTGAGTGAACTAGAACCAAGTATGCATTCAGTCAGCAGTTGAGTGTGTAAATCAGTTGTACCAGCCAGAGTCTCCTATTTGTACATCTGTTGTTTTTGTTACATGCCATTGAGTAGAACTGACTCATAGTGCACAACATAACGAAACACTGGTCCTGGGCCAACCTCACAATTGTTGCTACGCTTGAACCCATTGATGCTGCCACTTTGCCAATCT